GGCCCGGCCCGGGAGCGCGGCCCCGGTTTCCCCCGCTTCCCCTTTGAAAGCAGGGCCTTGTCACTCGGTTGACGGTAGCGAAGTTGTTACCCGCGACTGATCTTCGATTATTTATATATTTTCTTTTTTCCTCCACGCTTCAGCTAAAACCATTCTCAAGTCCGTGGCCGCCGTACGTACCCCGGGCGTTTTGTCTTTGACCCTCACAAGCTGTTCGTTTTACTCTTGTTGCAGCAGCATAATGTCTTCTTTTTTTTTTTTTCCTTTTAAAAAATCACTTCAGAATCGCGTGCCGGCTCCGTGCTGCACTAAAAAACCGCGCACAAACACCGCGTTCGTAATTTAGAATGATTTCTTGGGTACAGCAGCGCGGAGCTGCGAGTTAGCGGTGTGTCGGGGTTTGGATTCCCACCGTCGTGACTGTCCTCTCGATCGTCTCCCTTTATTGCATGTAGGTTTTCAGCGAAATCGGTGAAAAGAAGTGAACGTGCGTGATCTGGGCTTAAGTCAGGTAATTCTCTCAAAGGTCTTTGCCTCTGATAAGAAGAGCCCCGGGTCCCTTCAGGCTAAAACAAAGTTCTGTTTCAGTCATATCGTTGTCATGACTACTGGAGAAGCCAGGAGGGTTTTAAAAAAATTGGTGACGCTTGATTCTTGACATGCATTCCCTTTTGTACCTTTTTTGTTTGTCAAATATTTATAATATATCAATGTATTGATATTCTGAGCAGCCCATGCTTGCTGTACTCGTCGTAACTTTTTTTTTTTTGTAATTTCACATTGGAACAATTGCTGGAATTCTTATGTAAGGATTTTACCTCAGAATTGTTGAGAATTGCATAAGTAATACTGAATTGTCATTAAAGGGGTTATGTATGACCCTGTGGGTTTAAGTACTGTGCATAATATTACTGCTTCTATACAACTGTTGAGGTTAGGCGGGTATCAGTGCTTCAGGCCAGCCTGACTTTTTGCCCCTAAGAGCAAAAGGGGGAGGTGGCTTCTTGTCCTTGATATTTGTGCTTCAGGGAACAGGAGTGCTCAAGAGTTTGGGTTTTGGGGTTTTTTTTTTAGTTGGGGTTGAGAGATAGAGGAAGAATGGAAAAAGGAGAGAAAAATGAAGCAGCTTCATACATTAGGACAAAGATCAGCCTTCACAAAAGTATGAGTAAAGACTTTTTTTCCTTTTGTTCTTCCTTTCCCCAGTTGTGACAGGGTGACAATAACGGTAACAAGTGAGCTGAGAAACCACAGACAAGAGGAAAAAAAGGCAAAAGTTCTAGTTAATCTTCAGCTCTTTGTTCCCTGGGTTGTATTGAGAACTAATAAGGGATTTATTCATCCCAGGGGCATTTTTTAGTTAAGAATTTTGAGAAAGACAGTAAAGCAAGACAAAAGAAGATGAAGTATGATGGTCTTTTCCCCTCCAACTTCCAGATAGAATTTGCTTATGAGTGATCCGGTGTCTACAGATCAAGTTGAAGTCCTCGGCTAGAGAAAGGAATAAACTTGGTATCTTTTTTTACTTAAATGCAGAGCATTGCCTAGAGAAAAGGATGTCAGCTCTACTCTTTTGGTATCAACTGAATAGCTGTAAGATGAGCAGACTGAAGGCACGGCTCAATCAAACTGTTTCACTAAACCAGTTGGTTTAGTAATGGGTGGTTAATATGGAATTAAGAACTGAAATCCTAAAGTGGATTTTGGAAACAGAAAATAGGATGGTTAATCTTTCATACTACCAAATAAACCTTTTAGTGTGCGTGTATATACGTTGCTTTAGTACCAGTTGTATCTGTCCCGTAAACTTAGCTGATGTAGAGGACTGTTGCGGCATAGCTTTGACAGCACATTTAAGGAGAGATTCATCGTGCACTTTTAGTGGTTAATTTCATTTTGTTTAAAATGTAAATATGAAACCTTCAGAAAATGTCTGAACTTCAGTATTTTGATAATATGAACAGTTGACGTTTTCAGTCTGAGTAGTTCTGTGATCACTGATACCTGTGAAACCAAGGTGCTTCCATTCTTGTGCTCTGCTGTTTGCGTCTTTATATAAAAATCTCAAATATTTAAAGTATTTGGATTTACTATTTCTGCTGGCCACATTTAGCACCGTTGACATTGTTTGGAAATATTTTTCAGAATGAAAATGCATTTAGATTTTTGCCTTTTCAGTGACAGAACAGTTTTGCAGTGAAAACAGGAAAGATTGAGGAAATAGATTCTACAGCTATTAATGGTTAGTGCCGTTCATGTTTTTATCTTGGCTGATGAAAATATGTGAAAAGTCTTTGTTTAAGCAAACGCTATTAAAGATTATTCCTGTCTTTCCTTGGCTGTGAAACAGCCGGTCCAGTCGTTGTGGTGTTTCATTATAGTGCTGTGATAACGAGTCCATAAATTCAAATAAGGAAAAACTTCCATTTTAAGCAAGTTTTTCCATACCTTGTGATCCATCAGATCCCTTACCTTTTCTGAAAAGCAATCCTATGACCTAGTTCTTGTGTGCTGTTCTTCTATATGTAAATGAACATTTTCAGGAAGTTTGACAACTATATAGTCTAATTTTGAGTTTGAGGAGTCTTGGTTACATTTAATAAATATTCCATCTGCAAAGCAGTGGAAGAAATTTAAGCTGCAGATGCTGCTCTGTATACGATAAGCATGTAGTCTGGATAATTTTAAAGCTATTTTCTAGCAGTTCTGCAACAGACAGAAACAAGGCTTCAGAGTAATTGTCCTGTGGCTAAGTCAGTTGTCATCATAACAGGGTGAAGGTTGTATTGGTTTGACCAAGGCTTCGGTTTCACAAGCAGCTAGGTCTGTGTAATGTACCCTTACTATTTCTGAAAAGGAAGAGGGCTTGCTGCCTTCTCCTTTTTCATCCCCTCTTCCCTGGCCACACAGTTCCTCTGGTGCTTGTCAGGCTGTTTCATGGATGGGTTCAACTTACTAAGCCCGCACAAAGCTCTCCGCTTCTTTTTCAGGATTAATCTTTTGCCAGATTGGCGAGGTGAATTGCCTCGCGGTGGAAGCATCCGGCCACCAAAGCTAGGGCAAGGTGAGCAGCAGGACTTCTGGGAACCAATGGCGCGAGCAGAGCCAGCCCTCTCCAGTTTGGTGGCCGCAGGCTGTTAGATCCACTCACGCTGTAACCTGATACAACAAAACACAGGCTGTTGTAACTCTGCACATGTTTATCTGGGCAGTAAATGTGAGACGCTGAAAGGTTTCCCATCTGAACTGCCATTTCCTGAGTTAAACGTTGCTGTTCCTAAGGATGTGCACTTGTTGGAAAATGCTTTCTGTGCATTCTTGATTTGCTATGCATCTAAGATTTTTATCTGGTTTTTAAGTTAAAGAAGTCTCTCCTGTTAAGAAACACATTTTAGCCTAGGTCCTGAATATAGGAAGGATTATATCTACGTTACTCGTGGTGGTTGTGTTGTGTGACTGGATTGAATCTGAAGTATTCAAAAACAGTCAAGATCTGTCACAATGCACTGTAATTCATGTTTCTCACAGAAAAGTAGGAGACATTCCTAAAGTTCTTAGAAAGCAGTGGTTATGTTCTGATACTTTCAACTGTAGGTCTCTTTCCTGCCCCAAATCTAGGTGCAGACAATAACTAGAAATAAAACGCTGAACTTCTTGGTACTAACTATGGAAAAATGGAGGTGTTGCATACATTCACAAAGTTGTTAAAAATACGAATATAATGTTGTTAGTATCTATACTGAGAAAGCTAATGAAAATTATGTTTCAAGTGAGAGAAAACCAAAGATCTTTTTGTGAGATGAAAACTGATGCAATTAGCATTTGTCTGCTGTCTCCTTTAGCCTTAGGCTTTTCCAAATACCATCTGAATAATTTAGGTGTTAGCATTTATGAGTGTCTGAGAGCATTAGCTTGTGTACCACTGACTCCCTTTTCCCCTAACTTGTAAGCATCTTAATGTATCACTTATATACGGGGACATAAACATTGTCTACATGGATGTGTTCAAACATGTTGCCTTTTTGTTTGTACTTAACGATTTACATGTCTTCCTATAATGTTTCTAGGTAATTCGGCTGGGGGCCACCCCTGTTAGCCTGAGCTTGCTCTCTGTCCAGGTTTATGCTTCCTCTTCAGAGAAGGACACTTCCAAAAAGGAGTTGCTGAAAATTGAGGAGGTAAGTGTGGTTAGAGCCCAGGTGCTCTTCTATCTGTAGGGAAATACCTACAGAATTCTGAAAGACATTGTGTTTTGATGTGTGAAAGCATTTAGGTACATCTCTTCACCTTTTGTATTCTTGCCTTTAAACTTTCTTCTCAATTTTCAGTAACAGAGATATTGATATGGTTTTGCTTCTTTTAACTGAGGGTTGCATTTGATGCCCTCCGCTTGATAGTGTCAGGCTTGCTTGTGTGTAAGATCCTTTTCCTACATCAAAGCCTTCTTTTCGTCATTTGGAAATTACCTTTTCATGTTTGTAGATTTACTTGTGGTCATATTTCAAATCCACAGGAATATTTTCTTTGCTTTTTATCTAGGTAACACCACCTATTTTTTATTACAAGTCCTGTTGGCAAATTCTAATAAAACTTCATTTATGTTCTCCAGTAAAATGGAAAGAAAAACTTTTGATTTGCTAAAAATATTCTCTTTTTTACAGGCAAAATTCTTGTCTGGCAGTGCTTTGAATCCAATGTAGTAGCCTACAGAATTTTATCAGTTTTCCCTTCTTTAAAGCATTCAGACCTAAGCAACAACAAGTACAATAAGTAGTGATAATAAACCCCTGTTACTTTATTGTTTCTCTAAGATGTTACAGATGTCTTGGTTATATCACAAGTAGAGCTTTAAAACATCCTGTCAAACTGTAGACTCACCAGCATTGTTGCATAGGCTTTCAACAGCCTCCAACATTAAAAAAAATAAATAAATTGTAGTTCATAACTCAATACAGCTTTATATCCATGTGAGTTTGTAGTTGTTTAAAACTTTTAAGTACTTCAGCTTGCTAAAGTGGTGTTACACCAGCAGTGAAACTGAATGAAACTTGTTTGTATACTTAAGTCTTTTGGATGTATCTGCATGGGCATCTGCATAGTATGAGAGGATCAATAGTTGAAGCAGTCTCCTGGCTTCACCCCAGTGAAGTAACCTTAGCTTGGGCCATCGCGTGCCCTATACCACCACTGGCATGAGTCAGTAATGAGGCAGGAGTTTGAAGTTACACATGTGCTGAATAATTGGCTTGCCCATCAGCTTCAGCAAAGCAGAATGTGCAAGCTGTGGAGTTTTGGCTGCCTTTCTTACCATTCACAGAGTATGTTAGTTTGGATCTCTACTGTCAGCTGTCTAGTTTCATAAAATGTATGGGAATTTCCTTATCTCTGAGAGTTATGTCCATGTGCCAGATGTGGCTGTTGGGTTGTCTAACAGGATCAAAGTTAAACTGATTGTGACTATGATTGCCAGAGATGACCAGATTGGCTAGGGAAATAAGACTTTAAATGCTTGTCTTCCAAAGTATTATGGGAAATCCAGCTGCACAAGTTATCGAATCATTTGACAAATTCTATGTCATTATAGATTTTGTTATGGTTAGCAGCTTTTTTGATTATGAGAGAGATACAGTTGTTTTCCAACTTACCTTGAAAAGAGGGCTAGCTACATTTCGATGCAACAACACATGTAAACATCAGTTTATAATAACTACGAAATGTAGTATAAATGTGGTATAAAATAAAAGGTCTTTATACTGAACATCAGTGTAGCATATAAAGTGCTATGAATTTTAATAGGTTTTGTTTTGATCTAAACTTTGCTGTTCATCTTCAACAGTATAGACTTTGGTCTTTTTTTTTGGAATAAGAATGGAATTTAATGAGATACAATTTTAAATATGTTTAGGTAATTGTAATAAATATGTTGTGATGCTAAACCCTAAATACGGTGTTTTAGTATTTATTATGTGAAGATGCCCATTGCTCTTCAGGTGGATGTTACAATTCCTATTTGCTAAGCCCCATGGTGCTATTAATGCTGTCAGTTGCTGATGTGGTTAATGACTGCAACATTGGGATGCCATACCATTTTCCTGCTCAGTAACAAACAGACAAATTTGTATCGGATGTTACCTTTGTTAGAAGCTACTTAGACTCTTTAATGATGGCTTGTGCAAATATAGAAAATGATCGATTGTGATTTCAGAGTTCTAGTACATTTAGTATGTTAACTGGGAACCAGAAGTGCTGATTAAGACCAGAAACATTTTTCACAATTAATGTTTTGTGTTCTTATTGAACTAGTTTAATTTTAATTTATAACCTGTGACTTGGATCGTATAGCAGCTATGGATGAATTGCACAGCAATTAGAAGTCATCTTCATCATAGCATATAATTAAACTTTGCTCATAATGGTTGTCTCACAGCTGTGCCTGAATTTTTATTATGCATTGTTTATGCAGTAAGCACCGTGTTAGGTATTCTCTGGTTAGACTGTTCATGCCCTGAAGACCTACTTACACAATTACACCTTTGTTTTTAACCTCTTGTTTGCTAATATTCACAGCTGTCACTCTACTCCTCTCCAGCTCGTGAGACTAAATATGTGGAGAATCCACAAACCCAATTGGAAGAGGGGGTTTCGCGTTTACGTCATGTTATGGAGCCATATACAGCCTGGTGTCAGGTATAATGGTTTTATATCACATCTGGTTGTGGTTCAGTGATAAGGGTTGAGCTAGGATATTTTTTTTTTAGAGTCAGAATTAATAGATAGCAGCAAAGTAAAAGTTGATAGCTGTACAAGCATTTTTCCAAAATGTTACGTTACTTAAAATTTTCCACAGTTCTGGTTGTAATATTTACCCCCTCCTCACACAAAATCAGTTGTTTCTTTCTACTAATTTGCTGAACTAAACCCCTGCTTCTTTGCATTTTGTATCCCTCCAAAAGAATTAAAAGAAAATTAACTAAAGCTTAGAATTGTTATCTGAAATAAACGTTAAGTTTAAAGATACCTAGGGATACCTTGATGTAGTACTGTCCTGTCACTGAGGAAGACAGGAGAGTGATTTAATTTGTGTTCTCCATGCTCAAGGAGAAGGCCTTAAATTATCAAGCAGTGCATTTTGGAGCAGCAATACTGAGTTGTCCGCACCACAACTGTGACAAAACACAGCTTTGCAGAAAATAAATCCGTATTTGCTGAACTGGAATGTTGAGGGAAGGAATGCGGCTCTCTGGAAGGGAGAAAATCCCAGGCCACTAGTAGTGGCAAACCTCACCCCCAAACCTTACCCCGAAACTTTCTTAGATATTTTATTAGGTAGCATTTTTATACTAAACAGTCATTAAATACAAAAATAGTCTTTGGAACGTAGAGGAGAACCAAGATCTTTGTAATCAAGCCCTGAATTATTGATAGTGGATTGCAGAGTTATATGATAGCTTTCTTGCTCCTTCCTGACCCAGCGAACGTTGAGGCTTACTTTTGAAGCAAGGGCATCCTTGTCATCTGGTTGCCTCTTCGCAACTTTAGGTGATTTTCTGCTTTGCACTCTGGCTGTTGTGAATCCTTTTGTTAAGCTGCAGGCTGGTTTTCCAGTTCTCCATAGAAAGCCAGGCTGTTCAGATCAGACTGTCCTTTCTGCCTAGAAGTTCTGTGTTGTGGTACTAACCTTTAACAGTACTGAAGCATTTTTTCAGAAATACTGAGGGTTACTCAGTCTAGTGATGTGTTTCTAAAGTGCCACCAGCAGGAGTACTGACTTCAGTTTTGAAGGAGAAGGGGGATTTTCCACAGTATAGTTAGAGCTCTGACCTCCTGAATGCATGGGTTCTGTTTGGTTGCCTGCAGTAACTGTAAATTTGAGATGAAGTTAGTGGCCCAGTTGGACTGACTGCAGGTAAGCCTTGAACAGTGCTTTATGTCTCACTGGCTTGTTGTCTTCGTATTTGCTTTATTTTTTTTGTCTGAGTGATGATCATTTAAATAAGATGTGCTTTTCTGCTCACACACAACAAGCCATTTCCTGGCAGTGGTTTACTGACTCATTTTATGAAGTGGGCATGTAAACTTTATGGGTTTGGGGTCATCTTGCTTGCTAAACTGTAGTCAGAGATGGTTTTGGTTTTACACCGCCCCCACGCCCTGCTATGTTAAAGAAGATAACATTTTAGGTGCATCTCAGTTGTCTTTAAAATTAAAAACATAACCCAGGATAATGAGAATAAAATTGGTTAAGTTCGTATATCCATTTTACTTTTTAAAAATTGTTTGCTTAGCTGTAGTGGAAAGTCAGTTCAAAACACAGATGTAGAAATGAGTCAGTTATGTGTGAGCTGTGACAGCAGATCAGACTTAGTCTCTGGGGTCTTTAGAGCGTGTGTTTTGTGCTTTTTCCTTGGCTTTTAATAAGACCAACATCCATTTATGTTGTGTGTCACATGCTAACACACATTTTTTTCATGACAAGGTTTTTTTAATTTGTTTTTGGGGTTTTGTTTTTTTTAAGTCACTCTTGCCATTGAGGAAATGAAAGTTCTAAAGATATTATTCCCCATGAAGTATCCTAAACAAATAGTTTCACTTCTGCACAGATACAGCTCAAGTGGTATTGCGAGACCATTCTCTGCTTTAGCTTTGGGCATACATGTTTATGAATTTGTTCCCTAATTGATAGACAGCCTTACACTGTCTCTCTGAAGGATTATTAGCATAATAACAATTAGCACGATTGCTCTTTACTGAGATTTTTTTTTTTTCTACTTTGATAAAAGGCAGTGTGAATTCTTTTACTTCCTGCATATTTTCAATCTGAGAAAAAAATATAGAACTAGTTTGTGGGGTTGATGCAGTGCTCTTTGATGATTTACTTTGGACATTGTATGGACATCTCATTTTCAAGTCACTTCAAAAATGCAGTTTTGTTAGCCTGAGATAGTCTCTTGGAAAGTGGAATTTATCACCTTGCAGAATGGGTCATATACCCCTGTGAAGTGCTAGGAAGGAGTTTATTACAGTGTTGTACTTCCTTTCTTTGCATAAACCCAAATATTTTTGGGATACCTACCTACACTGAGAAACCTGAGATAATCCTGAGTTTCAGCTACCTGATCAGGAACTCAATGAAATACTGAAGTTCTCTTCTGTGTGTTGAGGTATTATATTTCATCTGTGTCCAATGACTGCTTTGAGAAAAAGCTGTACGTTATGCCAAACATAAGGCTGAGCAAGCATAGCCCTGTAACTGAAGGGTGGAAATAGGAATAAAAAAGTTTTTTAGGGACCCAACACTGTTTTTTTAATTTCTTTTTTCTCCAACACCCCCCCC